GCGATATGGTTCATGGGGTCACGAAGAGTCGGACACGACTTAATGACTGAACAACAAAAATATATATCACTGTCTCACCATCTTGCTACCTCTCTATTTCTATCTCTGGAAGCCTAACAATAGCATTATAATTCTCTTATGCTTACTTAAGCAAGATGGTTTGTGACAGATTGGAAACAGCCAAATGGCCAAAGGTCAAACTCTTAAGTTTTTATTCCTGGATCTGTGCCAGAGGTTGCATCCAACGTGAGAGAGGAGTGCTGGGTTGAAAAATTACCTTTTTTAAAAAAAAAAGTCAAGTAGACAGAAAAGAAACGGCCTCCAATGGATTTTTGCAAAGGAGAAGAAACAGCTGGTGACACTGATAGGGCTATAGCAAAGCAGTCCAGCCCTTCCTTCACTTTCTAGGTGGCTGAAAAGGAGGACTGGAACAACCAGGGCAGATCCAAAGTGATGGAATCACATCGAACAAATGCAAAGCAAAAGGGATGAATTGTTCTATTGCAACTATCTGATCAACTCAAAAAGACCCCATCTAGAAACTGTAAAGAAATGAAAAGCTTTCTGAGATTGAGGTAGAAAAACATGATGCCTTTTTGCAGGGAGGAAAAACGAAACTTTTATGGAACTTTGGCATCATAGGGAGGGATAAGAAGCATTGTCTGAAAAGACAGTACTGGTCATGAGAAAGGGGAAACATCTGACCTTGAAGAGACAGCCCAGTGAATGCACTTTGTTTCTAGCTTGGAAAATTCATCCCAGATCAGATTTTTTTTAAAGGATTAATCAAGTTCTCCCTCAATCTATCCCTTATTATTTAGCTATCACAGAGGCTCTTTTATGCCACCCACCTCTTGTTTAATCTCTTAGCAACTAATGGGGGCTATTGTATCTCTGCCAAAAGCCTTTGAATCGCCTTTCTGGCCAAATAAACATGAGAGAAGAAGAGGAAAAATATCCGTTTTCTCCCTTGGGTGTGTATCCACCAATCTATCCGTAATAGACCCACTTTCCCTTCCAGTCTTCTCCCCATTGAATGCCTCCCACGCCTCCTCAAATTTATTTTCAAAGCAGGAATAGCTTAAAAAATTCCTAACTTTCTATTATCACATACTACTGAAGTTCTGGGATGCAAATTCTGTTGTTTGCTGGATGCAAATTCTATGCCCAGAAATGTCAAACTGCGAATTAAAAATAACAGAAGGTAAATACAGGCCATATAGATATGATTTTTTTGTTGATGTTTTTGCTTAATTTTGCAGGACAGTCCTACTGAACTCTGTGAAGGGCTGCAGAAATAATATAAGAACTCAGGGTTTAAAATCATATTTTTTAAAAAATGCTAAAGGAGTACCAAGAACCTGCACAGAAAAAGACAGAAACTGGAGAAAAATGGTAAAATGATTTACCACTACATCTCCATTTACCTTTTCTCAAGGAGACTGGGGTCATAAAAATAGTTCCAATATATATTTTATCCTCAGAATGAACCTGAGAAGTGTACCAAGTTGAGAGCAAGGCTGGTTTAAGATTCCCCAATAATTTTTACGCATAAATGATCTACAGCTCTTCTTCCCTCCTTACCCCAGCCTAGCAATTGTATTGCACTGGTCCTATAAAAGTGATATGACAGTGAGTCACTATGGAAGACCAAAGCAATATCTGAAAACAATAAAGGAAGAGGGGGAAAAAAATCTTTAAAAAAATGTGTTTTCCTCAGAAATAGCAAAGAAATCACAGTCTAGCTTGACCAGCTGCCAATAGTTGTACCACGCTCACTATTTCTGGTTCCAATAGCTGTATGGAAGGAGTAGGAAGAGGAATGATTATTGGCGTCCTCACAAAGTTGTTAATTTGAATCTTTGATAGGCAAGAGTTGTCCTTTCCTTGGAATGGGGAAAGGAGGAGGAGGGGGATACTTTTTAATGTATATCCTGCCTTTTACTCAAAAGCTTGCAATGGGTGTTCTTAGCACTTTCTCCTCCCATTTTCCCCACCATGCCCCTTTAAAATAGGATGGGCTAAAAGAGTGACCAGCTCAAAGTCACCTACTGAACATCCATGACTGAAAATGGACTAGAATTGGAGTCTCCTCACTCCAACACCTTCACCATTATACTATACTGAGTGTTGGGCTTAGAGAGAACTGGCCCAAAATTTCCCAAGGGAACTCCATGGTCTGCTGTGGACTTGAACCTGGGTTTCCCTCGGGCCAGTGCAGCACTTCAACTACACTACATGTTGGATCTCACATTAGAGACAAAGTAGGACACTGGCTCACATATTGAATTAAGTCATACTGTGATAAGCGTACCGATGATTTATTGAATTAACCACCATTGACTGGATGTGCACAGTACTCTAAGCTGTGATGTGGTTTCTTTGGTTTTGCTTAGTTACGTTGGGTCAACCTAGACTTAGAAAGGGTGTGGGGTCACCAATGGGAATGTGGCCTTTTGAAAAGTATGCTTCCAGAGTTCAGCAGATGTCCCTCTTTCCTTATATTTAAGTGTCCTTCTCCAAACGCGGAAAGCAATTCTTGAGTCTTACGGACCTTCAGAAGCAGCTGCAGCTTTGCTGGTTTGCGCTCAGGATAAGATCCCAATAAAGAAGCAATGGATCCAGAGTTACCGTTCAGCAATTGTTGCACTTTCATCAGGGGCACTCCAAAAAGAAAACTCCTACCCAAGCAAGATTGCTTCTCAGACAGTTTTATTAACATTTACTAGAACTCCTGGTAACATTAAAGTACAAATAATAATAATAATAACAACAACAACAACATCTGGTTGACTATGCGACCAACCATAATAATAATAATAATAATTTGGTGCAATTCAAGCCCTTTCTGAGATGGTTGTGCTTCAATCTCCCTGCAGGAGAGAGTTTCTGAAGTCCTTGAATGGAAATCATCAAGGCTTTTTAAGGCTACTGGGCTACTTCTCCATACCACCTGGAACCAAAGTGATACCTGCAAGACTGTCCCTATAGAAGGACTTCTTTGCTGCTTTGTTCGCTTTTCCTTAGAGAAAGTCAACAGGATTGCTCAGCCTTTCCATCCATCCAAACCTTGGGAACAGGCCGACATCCCAAGATGGCATACCAATAGACCGGATTTTGTGGGAGCAGTCAGAAAGCAAAGCTGGTGTCTCCAGCTGCTGGTGTGGCTTCCATTGATGGCTGAATAAAACTGCTGCATCTGGGAAGAGAGAAACAGCTAATTAACACCCAGAGCATTTGACTGGCTATAAAGGTAGGCATTCGATTATAACCAGCTGATAAAGGCAGGAAAGGACTTTTCCTAGGAAGATTTTTTTAGAATGCACTGTTTGTTACTCCATGTGCAACAAGGAAGCCATCTCATTCAGCCTTTTCACTTTCTTCCAGGACCTGGTTCAAATGGATGGTAGACCCTTCTGAGATATTTAATTGATGGTTGATTTTCTCCAGACTTTCTATGGGATGATATATTCTGAAGTTTTATTGTTGCATTCTGTAAGCCTCCCAGAGTGGTAGAGATGGAGGCAGCCTATACATCTAATAAATGAATAGGGGCAAAATGGAGCATTTTATCTCTGAAGGGTTTCACTCCCTGCTCTTCCTCTGAATAGGCTGATCAGAGTCATTTTTGTATTTCTGCAATGATATTGTCTAAAACAGTCCAGAATACCATGAACCCCTTCTTGTTCTGAATGATTCTCTTCTTGATAATGCACAAACTGGAATGCTTGGATTGGTCTGTTCAGAAGGAAAGCAATTGAATTGGCCAATCTAAGCATGATTCTACTATATGCCCTTCTTTAATGTTTCCCCCAATTGTGGCTGATGGATGTTCCTCCCCGCCTTGTTTTGCATTTTGCTTCTTTAGGTTTTGTTCTTATTCTTCTAATGTGGATTTCCCTTGAACTAGACTGATGTCTCCTTCTTGGTTCTGGGTGACTCCAATCCTATCAGCACTCACAACTGCTAATAGAAAGGACTGAGAACATGACTTGGAATTTCTGGAGAGAGAGAAATAGCACATGAGGGATGAATGGATGGTTGTCCTAAATAAGAGAGATAGATGCTTGATGCATGGATGAATATTCTAAGAGAGATGTAAAATCAGCTGCATTTCCAAAGATATTCACCCCAATCCAGCAAGGAGCTGTGCCCATAACATAAGCAGCACCACTTTTGATACTTAAAAGTCTGTCCAACGTTTGGCAGTCCAATGTCTCTCCCTTTGGAATATCAGTTGGAGCCTGAAGTAATTATTTTCCTGCGGCTCTTTTGGTGCTTAGGTTCTGTCTCATGGGGATTTTTATCACCTCCCAAGGTCAGCAACTATGCATAACGTGTGGAGAAAAGTCAGACAGGGTTCATTTGTTTAAGGAATGGATCAAATGGGTAACACAGCAAAGGTGCATTGAGTTGTGCCCTGTATATCTAAATGTAGCTTAGAATCATAGAATTGGAAGGGATCATTTAGGCTATCAAATCCAACCCCTTACACAAGGCAATTTCTTTTTAAAAAATGTTCTGGAAATAAAGACATTAAAGCCACAATAGCTGAAGTCAGCAAACTTTGAAGGCGAGGATGCCAAAACCAACAGAAAATAATTTAAGGACACAAGCAAGACCTCAATGGAATTGCCAAATTTTGTGAGCTCCTGAAAGTCCCATTCCCTAGATTCTTGCTTAAAATGGCATCTCATGGGAATACAGTAATATTGAAATATTGTGAGATTTAGTGATCTGACCAGACTTAGCCTCCTTAAAAATGTTTAAACTTTTAAAAAAAACTGATTTACCTTTGCAATCTTGCAGAGGTCAATAAGAGATAATGTTGCTGACCTCCATGATACATTTAGTAATACGCATTTATGGATCCCACCACTACCACACCCATGTTCTGCAATTCTGAGACTGTCAATAAGATTCTCCCGAGGGGGGGGGAGGCAGTCCTAATTATGACTGAAATGTGAATCTCACAGTATTACTTTCTCAGCAGCAAAGCAATGCTCCAGGATGAAAGGCTGGCTTGTGATACACCTGCAAATGTTTACACCTGGAATGGCAAAACATGGTCCAGTTTGGAAAAAAGTGTCCAAGCCACTGGGAGTTTGCAGGTTGAATCCTATTTTATTTCCATTCAAATATATATATACAGTATATATTTTCATCTTCCTGGTCCATCACCAGATTGAAAGGTTATAAAGCTACCGAGGTTTCCTTCTTCACTATTAAGTGTCTATGCAGGAGAAAGAGAGAACATTCATGAGATTCTCCCTCCCACTTACTGAGATCATTTAGGATGTCCCTGTTCTCTGTTTATAGAAATTGAGGATCTCAGTGACAAGTGAGAGGAGCTTGGCTGTGATATGCATCCCGTCTTCTGAATTTCAGGCTTTGAGTTAGTCAAAGTGGCATGAGATAGAAGATTCCTCCAAAGTCACCTGAATGTGGAGTGGGAACATGCCCAAAGATGGAAAAGTGGGAGAAAACAGAATAATGCCAAAAATCACTCTGCTGCCCTCACCATGGGATCATCTTACTTTATCTTAAAAGCAGCACAGGGGCCTTTGTTATTAATGGCTGCAGAAAGATACTGAGCTCAGAACTCAATCCAGGCTTAACTTGCCAAAACACCTTTCTTCAAGGCAGCCACTCCCACTTACCTTGGCCAGATAAACAGGCTTTGGAACCAAATATCAACTTGGCAGAAACAGCTCATCTGCTGTAGCCACCCTGATCCCCACCCATATTATACTATAGGTGCCAATTAAGTCCTCCATCAAGCACAATGTGTCCACAAGTGGCAACCTGGACTATTGGCAGCTGAAGAATGTTGTGTGGCAGGATTATCTGAGCTGCTCTAATATGAGAAAGGGGGAAGAGCAAGCAGGAAGTGGTTCTGGATTCTCTGTTTCAAGACTTCTTGTTCTCCAGTTCTCTGTTGTCCCTGGGAAAAGCCTACACAGATTAAATGGAGGGGCAGGGCAAAAGGAATGAGAGACATGGACTGGGCTCACACCGTGCACTAAGCCCTAATGTGGTTTAATTCATTCTGGCTTAGCATATTGCTAATTGTGGTTTATAATATATACAGTTAAGCAACTCATGGTTAATATGAGGTGTGAACTCAGACTATAGAAAAGGCAAGAGGGGGGGAAGTCTGTGTGAGAGAAGGGGTGCCCAACAGGTCAGGTCCTCAACAGCTCACTGTCAAATTTTAGTAGCAAATGCCAGGGCTCTTAAGGGCATATCAGCATCTGAGATGTGGCTTGTCATTGTCTCTCCACCTGATAACCCACAATTTTCTTCCACCCTATGATGTTATTAGAAAATGGAAGTAGTGGGCAAAAAGGGTAGGGCAGAGGTGGGTACACAGAATGGGCAACGGGTTTATACTTACAGGAGAAATCCATTTACTGCAACAGGATCTATGCAACAAGCTGTTGAGTTTTAAAGGCCACACTAGACTACCTCGGTATTCAGAACAGCATCAGATTAGATAGCAACAGCCTCAGCCGCTGTGGTGTTCATTCGCATCAAAGCTTGAGGACTGGCAGCTACGCAAACTCTAGGAGTAGCTGAATCTTGAACAGCTTCACAAACTGAGCTCACAAGGGAACACATGCAGAGCACAAATATTAAACTGTCATTTGTGTTGTTCTGAATACTTCTCTTTGAAATGATCCTGAGAGAATGACCAGGGGAAAACCTACTGCTTAACAACTAATGTGCCATCAAACTATCAGCTTTCAAAGTTTTAAGGTACCCAGGAACGATGCTGGGGATGACTAAATGCAGAAGAGGAAAAACACATAGAGCTTGCTGCTCCTTGCCAATACAGAGATAGTGTAAAGGGATTTCACATTCAGCCACCGTAGAGTAATTTAGCTCTGGCCTTGAGGAGGAGGAAACATGAGAAAGAGACTCAGAACAACCCCATCTTGACCTTGTTGTCCTTCAAAAGGGGCAATGAAGGTTTTGAAGATTCTGATAATATAACCTGCAGTAATAAAATATAGGTAGTCCTCACTTAGCAACCACAATTGGGACCAGCGACACAGTCAGTAAGTGGAAAATCACATGACCATGACTTATGATTTTACTTCCACCTTCCACACTGAACAGTATTAACTCTTCTCGTCGCAAGTGAAAATGTGTGCCAGTTGCGAAGCACACAAATGGTGATCACGTGACTGCAGGATGCTGCAATGGTCGTAAATACAAGGATGGGTTGCAAAGTTATTTTTTTAGCACCGTTGTAAACTTTGAATAGTTGCTGCACGAGGCAGTCGGTAAGCGAGGTCTACCTGTAGCGTTCCTGGAATCCCGGAAAGGCTGAGAGATGGGAATGATGGGAAAACAGCTCTCTCTAATGCATTTCTCTTTGTTATAAAAACTCTTTAAGCGGTCAGAGGAATCTTTCAGGGAAAGCAACAACAGCCTTAACAAGAAACAGCTACTGTATATACTTGTGGATAAGCCATCTGCAGAGAAGCTAAATCCAATTTTGGGGGGGTTATTTTGGAACCTAAAATTCTCAGCTTATCTGCAAGTATATATGGTACATAACCGAAGCATCAGGATTAATAATTAATAATCATAATTATTATCTATTTTTATCCTGCCTTTTATATATTCTGGTCAACTCAAGGCAGCAAACGTACTTAATACTCCTTAAATAATTAAATAAATGCATTAAATAAAATATTAAATAATCCTTTCTTTCTTGATGTCAGCTCTGGTGTACTCTGACAGAAATAATTTATTTTTTTATTCAACACTGGAGCTCATGGTAATCTCCCCACTCTGGAAGAACCCTTCCAAGATTCAAGTGTGGCTCAGGTTCTCTTCTAGACCAGGATTAATCAGTTGTTCTACAGAACTACTGTTTATTTTTGCTGCATTTGACAATATTTCTGTCAATGTTCCAGAATTTGTTGGGCAGGGTTGGGCTTCAGGGTTTAGTGACCGTGGTCTAGACAATAGATTTCCTGACATTTTGCCAGAAACTGTGGCTGGCATCTTCAGAAGTAAGGTGGTCTGCTATGCACCTGAAGATGCCAGCAGTTGCTGGTGAAACATCAGGAAATCTGTTGTCTAGACCACGGTCACTAAACCCTGAAGCCCAACACTGCCCAACAGATACCAACCATGAAAGCCTACACCAGTATATTCCAGAATTTGATTTGTTGGGTTTTGGATTAGAATGTTGTGTGTACCTAGTTATGGCTGTTTGCACTAAATACTTGTTTGCACACACTCTGGTTAGTAATATGTGGACTCAGACAATTGTGGCTTAGGCAACAGATCATGGTTAAGCAACTACAACTTGGCATGAAATGCAAGTCAAGAAATCTTCCTCCTCCTCCCCCACCCCGGTAATTTGCAACTTGATATTAAGAACTCTTTCCCTAATTTTTCTGGATCCCTTGATTCTGTTTTAGAGCTTCAGCAGAATGTCTAAGGGGGAAAAAAGCTTTTAAATCTTGCCCTGTACAGGGCAGAGGACCCAAACAAAAGCAGCTTGGAAATCAGAACATTGGCTATTCAGAAGACCTCCTTATTCTGAGCCAAGACGAAGGAGACCCTTGGAAATCACAGATGCAAGAACAAAAAAACTTCACCAGCCAAAAAGTTGTAAGAGGCCGGAGCATCTTAGAACAATATGTGCATTGTCTAAGGGGATTTCCCAGGGGAAAATACTAGCTGTTGAAACAATTAATGGCTTGGCCTTTTATTTCAGTTTTGAAAATCCTTCAGCAGCACTTACCCAAAATATACTCAAAAGCATTGACTACAGATGCTTCTGGCTTGCAGTTTTGGCATTCAGAGGCACCTGCGTGACAGGCATATAAATTTTATTTCCACCGCTAATGCAAATCTTAAAGGGCTCTGTAAACTGAGCTTGAAAATGGACTTTTCCCACACATTGCAAAAGCAATTAATTGTTGAACGACAGCTCATAGACACCCAAGCTGTTGCGGCAGGATCCGGGGGCTGAACTAGAGTTTGGAGAAGCAGTTATTAGCAGCAAAAAAATATCCAAATCAGTCCAGTGAGAACCTATGGCGGTGTCACAGCGATGTAGGCTGCTTTTGTCTGGGTTCGTGTTTAGACAGAACTCCATCCTTTGCAGACAAGACAAAAGGAGACACGTACACTAGGACAAAGCCAAAATCAAATCTTCTACAGGATAGATTTGTGTAATTTGTAAACCTAGCTGCACAATTCCTACAGCCACTGTTCTATCTCTAGCAATAAAGCAATCTGTCTAGAAACTGGGTTCAACTACAGTACTATCCACTTTTAAGATGCCCTTGGGACTAAGCTAAAGAAGCAACCCTTTTTCATAGCATCGTTACCTCTTTGTACCTTCAGCTGAAGCTGTGCATAGGTATAAAGGTATGTGGGAATGACTTTGGGAGACTAGACCCAGAGACGCTGCCTAGGGAACGGTAGATAAGAGGCAGCATAACCTGCAGTTGCATAGTGAGCAGGGCAAGAGGCTCAGAAGAGACCCTCCCTAGTTTCTCGGGATGTAAAGAAGTCCGGGAGTGGGGAGAGGATTGTGCTTTCAGACTTGCAAGCTTCTGTCAATGTAGCCTTACGATAAAGTAGAATTAGCTCAGCTGGTTGTATTTCCTGTCTGGCCTACCTGGCACGACTGAAATAGGCTGGCATCCAGTGCTAAAACACACCTTTAAAGAACTCTGTGAGTAGAAAGAAAGGCAGTAAATAGAGGCTGTACCTATGAAAAGACATAGAAGGACTCATGATTAAGATCTGGCCATCTTGGTCTCCTCTTGACCTTTTCATCGGTCCAGATATTTAACTTCTGGTGTATTTTTATTGTTACCCAGATTATTTTAAGTGCTGTGTTTTATTGTCACTTTTTATTTGTTGCTTTAAGTGTTTCTCTTGACATATTACTGTCAGTCACCCTGAAAATCTGAAGTGACTCCCTTAAATTAAAAAAAAAAAAACCCTAAACAAAGTTCAAAACACATATCCAAATTCACTTTTTTTCCAAAACTGTTTTCTTAGTTCTTCTATTTTTGCAAGCTT